AGTTAACGCTGGATTAGATTCGGAGATTTCGAGGAAATTCCAAGTGGAACGAATCATATTTTCCTTCTGAGCGCTGCACAGCTGGGCTGGAGCAAGGCGCCAGGCTTCGGCGGCATCCAGCCGGGTGCCCAGCTCGGGCCCCCACGGGCCTCCGGTCAGGGAATTGCTTCTGCGCTGGGAGCCCTCCCCAAGGCTTCAGACAGCCCAGAATCCTGCTTACTTAGCCCTGGATCCCCTATTTAACAAAGACAGCAGAGACCCGGCTGGAGAGAAGGCGAGCTTCCCGGGCGAATATGTGCGTTTCTGCCCCGGAGGGCCGAATGGCCTGGTAGGCTGGGAAATGCTGATCTAGGCTGCAGGGCTGGCTGCGGGCAAGTCAGTTTCTCTTTGTGTCAGTTTCTCGAGTCCGAGATCATCCACCAAAGCAGTGGAGAGATTTGTGGAGAGAAGCCGATTTCTCGGATTCCAGCCCAAACGATTCCTCACCGTTTGGGGCCTATGCCGAAACGGTTTCCATTCCGTGGTGACCCCAGCGCCCCCCGCAGCCGTCTCCTGTGCAGACTTAGCCCGGCTCAGGGGAGGCTCTGATCTCTCAGAGTGAGCCAGAAAGCAAAGGAGTTGGGGTCAGTACTCTGAGAGGTGACCAAGCCCTTAGCTTAGTCAAGGAGCGATTTGAGGACAAAATGAGGAGGGCTGCCCTTGCGCTTCTATCCTCGCCTGCAGGGATCCGCTCACTGCCTTCTTCTGCACTGAGCCTGGCGGCCCAGAGGTTGTGCCCCAGCCCTTGGGGAAATCACATCAGAACTGGTGGTCCCATGACTGTGCATGAGGGTGAAGAAGGCAGCTCCTTCCAGGTGCAGGTTAGCCAACCGCTAATGCCTGTCTCTGTCCCTCCTTGTCCCAGCTGTCATCTGCCCCCTCCTTGAGAAGTGCTCCCTCCTTCCGTTTTCAATTTCCCCTGCAGCATGGTGGAGGCTTGGCCCCAGCCTGCCTAGCTTCCAGAGCTGCCTTCTCTGGAAGTGCCCTTGGTTCTGACGCCCAAAGCTATTTGCTTGCACAATGTAGACCCCAATTTGTTGGAGATAGAGTGGAGGGGTGCACAGTAGATCCTGAGAAGTTGCCTGGTTAGTAGGGGCTCAGACCATGTCCCACCTTCTCATCTTCCTTCTTGGCCCTGGTCAGTTTCTTCCTCCAACTTCTTTCCCCTCTCCCCCCACTAGAGGGTGGCTTCTGTGCGGAGGTGGTGTAGGGGGAGGGGCAGGCATCGCCAGGATATGGGCTTCTGAGTTCCGTTGCCTCCACCCCCAGCTATAGTTACCAGTTATAAAGCACTTTTATATCCAGTCTCCTCCCCGAGTGTCTTCTAAACTTTCAGCTACACCCATTTTACAGAGTGTGATCTTGAGGTCAAACAGACAAAAGGACTGACAGGAAGTTCACCTGGACAAAGCTGGAGGCAGTCTTTTGAGGATTCACAGAAGGGGGGAGAGAGGAACTCAGATTCCAGAGAGTGGGCAGCAGACATCTGGGTGGCTGCACTCAAGTGCAAGGCACTATCTGTCTGGTTTAACTATGTCTGTATCCTTGGCCCCACTGTCCATGTGTGCCAGCACCTGTCTGTCAGAGAGTCCATTAAGGAGATTTCATCCCTGCCTTTCCTGTGTTCCTGTTTGCATGTTTGTGTGTCCCTTCATTCATCCTCTCTGATGTCAATAGGGGGAATTTCTATGACCCCGTGGATCCTGGAGTTGAATCTACCACAGAGTCAGCACAGACCCTCTCCCCAAGGTGTGGTCTTTGGGGCTGTGGACAGGGGGACCCTGGTGGGCAGCATGTCCTTATCAGGGCCTGAGGAGCATCTGTGGAGTCCAGCCCCTTCCAGAGCAGAGCCACCAAGGCCCCAGGGGCATCTGCAATTCAACCCTTCTCCCCTGCCCTCCCCTCCTCCAAACCCTGCTCTGTTTGCCCTGTGGAGGCGGGGTTGTTTCTCTTGTATCTGCGTGTCTGTTTCCTGGTCTTTGCCTTGATTTGTTTGCATCTGTCTCTGTGTCATTCTCTCTGTAAATTCTACTTGGCCCTGAAAAGTGTAGCTGAGTCCATGTCTCCCCCCAGCACCTCCCACATGATGAACCCTCACTTAGCTGGAGTCCATAGGAAGTAGAGGATGGGACTTGGCTTCTCTGAAGAAGTGAAGGGCTGGAGCTGGGTGTCCCAGAAAACAAAGGACCCCTCCACAGATGTCCCCTGTCTTCCAAATGCCCCCATGCTAGGCTTCCTCCGTTTTTCTCTTCTCTCTTCTTTCCTCCCACTGTACACCACATTTACCTTTCTTTCCTTTCTCTTCCCCGCCCCCCCCCCC